CTGAGGTGCTGAGATCCCACAGAGGGGCAGCAAGGAAAGGGATGTCTGAAGAAAATCCTTTAGTGAAAAGCACAAAAGCCATCCCTGCTCCACCTTCTGCTCTCAGCATGGTCAGAACTGCCCTGACTCCGTGTGAGCTCCTCCCAGTGCCCCAGGACATTCAAGGTGCCAGGGGGACAAAGGGGAGGGCACAACCCCCCTGCACCAAGTCACAGCCTGTACCCAAGGACTGTCCTGGCCATCAGGTAACAGAGCTCAATATTTACCCAACATTTATTCATTCTGGCAGCCAGAAAAGTCATTCCCTACATATCCTCAGCTCAGGTCAATGGAAGGAAAGCCAAGGAAGTGTTTACTCATGCACTCTAATAAGAGTGATGAATGTTTCACACAAACAGAAACATTTCTAAAAGCAACTTCTCTTTGCCCAGCTGATGAGTCTCTTGAACAAAACATGGTTTCATCAATACTCTGATTATGAGAGGAAAACACCAATTTCTTGTAAATTCTAACCCCATCAAAGAACATGGCACCCAGGGCTCTACTCAGAGTGTGAGCTGAAGGCTTATGAGAAAATTACATGGCCAAAGGGAAAAAACAACCTGGATCAGGCCCTCACTTCTGCAACAGAGCCAAACCCCCTCTCCTGCATTGCCAGCAAAGACAGAGCTGCTCCTCCTAAACCTCTCCACAGCCATGCTCCTCAAGGACAGCTGGACTCTGCATGGCCACCTGCCTGTAGTCCTGTGAGCCAAACCCTCCCAAAAGCCCACCCAGAGGCAGAACCAGCAGGAGATGCAGACACAACGTGGCTGGGCTGTGCTCAGACTGCAGTTGCTCCTCTCCCTCCCAAAACAGGATCTTTGCACACCCAAACTGTGGCTGGGCTCCAGCAGCTGATAACTGAGCAGCAGCACATGTTGTGCATACACAGGGAGGGAGAAATTATGTCCCTGAGTGCAACAATGAACCCTGGGCTGCTCCCTCCACCCCAGGAGTCTGCCCTGGGCAAGGCTGCACACCCCAGACTGGAAAACAGTGTCCTCTGGAATAAATCCCCAGCACAACACACCCACTCTGGGCCCAGAGCAGAATGCAGCAGAGAAACAAGGGGAACTCAATGAACACTGACTTTTCCCTCTGTCTGGTCAGGCCAAACACCCAAGATCAAACCCAAGACAAAGGAGAAGGCAGGAAAAACCCTTTCACAGTGCAATAAATGGATGTGGCAGCTCCAGCACTGAAATAAAGTCATTATCAAGATAAGTATTCTGAGGGAGCAGTGGAGCTGGGAGTCCCGTGGCTGGTTTGCCTCTGGCTACACTGGCAAAAGCAGGGAGGAGATCCAAAAAAACTCAGGCTCAGGGAATTCACCTGCTCAAAAGCCAGCCACAGTAAGCCACACTCCAGCAGGCTCTGCAGCTCATGAGCTGAGCATTTGCTAAAGAGTCCTGGAAAGAGAAATCAAAAACCCATCCAATGTCTGGAAGCAGCCAGGAACCAGCCATGTGGAGAAGGCAGCAGTGCTGGTGCAGCCCCCTCACCTCCCAAGCTTTCCCAGCTTTCCCTGCCTTCCCTTTCCCCAGGAAGTGCCCCAGCACAAAGCACCTGGCTCAAGACCAGCCCAGCAGGCCCTGGGAGCATCCCCTGCTGCCTACCTTGGCTTGGACAGCATAGGAGGCCAGCAGGACAGAGGCTTCAGGAGGACAGAAGATCTTCTCATCCAAAATCTGCTTCTTCACCTGCACACAGAGCAGCAAAGGACAGATAGCACACGTTTAGTGGAGCACAGCAGAGCATGACTGTCACAGCAGATGGCTGCAGTTTGTTTTAACTTGAGCTGTCAACCACACAGAGTTAACAATTTTCCTAACACTAATCACAGTCCAGACCCAGGAAATCTCTGGTGGCTCAGAAGGGCTCAGGCTTTCACAGACCACCTTCCTCAGACAGGTTGGTGAGAAGAGCTAAATTTATATGTGGAAAATGACAGCAGCTTTATCCTGTTGCTGAAGGCAAGGGGTGTGTGAGGGGGGAGAACCTTGCATGTAAACACAGCGATAAAACCTCTTGAGGCACGAGCTATGGACTGATAGGACATCCAGCCACGCTGCTAAAGAAAAGAGCAATCTCTGAGCACTGCAAGCTTTGCTCTGGGACATTCAGGCCTCATTGTGAGTCAGTGCTCACCTGTCCAAGGCCAATTCCTTGGATCCAGCACGGGGAGCTGCAGGTCACCTCTGTGGCAGAGCTTTCAGCAGCTCCCCAAGGCACAGCTTCCCTCCCCTGCCCCCCGTGCATTCAAAAATTAAACCTGTCATGTTCCATAGGTTTTGGGTTGGCACACTTAATTTTCCTGATTAAAGATAGGAGGGGAAAAAAAATGTAAAAAGCCTACGATTTCCTGGGAGGCTTAAATGGATTGTTGGAGATGCAGGAACATCAATTTGAATTTATAACGTGCTTTGAGTCCTCAAAGTTGGGTACAACATAATCACAGCAGATATTCTGCTGCATCAAGATAAAAAACAGGAGAGTTTACAAGCTTAGATGTGCTCCTGTTTCCCAAATGCATTCAGGAGCCCAGGTTCCTCTCAGCACACAAATCCCAGCAGCAAAGTCATGGTCTGCATTTAGAAAATGCAGCTTGAATGGCTTTTCCTCTCTGATTTTCCTTCTCAAAGATGCCAACAGCATTTTTCCTCACTGTGGATAAAGCTCCTGGCAAATGAGGCATTCAGAAATAACCCTACAGAGACACCAGTGCACGAGACTGAGCTTGGAAATTAACAGGAATACTTTGCATTTAGAACACTTTTGGCTCTGGAGAAAAAAGATGGACTTGGGAAGGGTGAGGAGCATCAAGAGGCTGCTGGGCTCACTTGGAAAGGGCAGGACATCCTGCAGGCTACAGAGGTATTCCCAAATCCAGGCTGTCCTGCCTTTGGTGTAAAAAAACCTAAGAATGAGTGACTTTAAAAAAAAATTCTAATTTATCTTCAAATTAACAGCCAGAGAGCAGCTGAAACATCCCAGTGAATACCCAGGAGTCTGACTAGGAGGGCTCTGTTCCCTCTAAGTGTGCTTGACACAACTCTTCTGAGGAAGAATGTGTCAGAAAATGGATTTTGTGGCAGAAAATTGATCATGTCTCTGAAAGAGAGCTCCTGTGATAGCAGCTCCTTGTTACCAGCCGTGCAGCACTGCCACATCATCAGCTGAACTGATTTCTCAGGACACAAAGTTTTGTAGAATAATTTAAATGAAAAGACCCAACCAAGATGTGTTCAGCAGAGTTTCTAAAGGCTTTCCTGCAGGGCAGGAATTCCTGGAGCAGGTGAGACTGTGAGGTTTCTCCTTCTGCTCTGTTTGTCCATCAGAGAGCTGAGCTGCTGGGATGTTGTTCTGCCCCTTGTTCTGAAGGCTGTTTGGTGAGGAGGGGAACTTTGCTGTCCTGGCTGCACTCTGCTCTCCAGGATCACCTCCCCTGCCCCACACAACACTGCTGTCACATCCAAAGGCAGCTGCCACCCCGAGCACAGCTCATCCCACGCCCTGCAGAGGGACACGAGCCCTTGGCTGCCACATCCATGTCCCTGAGCCACCCCCCATGGATATAATGGATCACCTCATCATTCTGCACTGCCACTTCACAGGTCTGCCAGTCTGGGCAAGCTGCTTCCTCCACAAAAACCATCCTTCACCTATTTTAGGAAGTTTCTGTTGTTAGACAAATCCCTTTGGAGAGGTGTGAACACAAGGATGTGCAGCACACTCTGCTGACCAGCTCTCTGACCCTGGGACCTTCTGCTCATCCAGGCTCCCTCTCCCTCAGGGTGGATAGCAGTGTATGGACTCCTACCTGCAGGAAGAACAGGTGCTGGGTGATTTCCTGCACCAATTCCTCCTCTGCATTCTCAGGATAAAATTTGGCCAGGAAGTGAAAAGTTTTGGGCTCTTCTGTGGGAACATCATGATCCAGGACCTGTGGGATACAAAAGCCATTTGGTTTCCTCAAGGCAAGACCCAGCTCCCTTCTGTTCAGATGAACACATATTCTGTCAGACACTTTTAGACATCTAGAACAGACCTAAATAGTTCAAACACCGTAGTTAAAAAAAGAAAACAAACATTTCTGACACTCCTAATGATGCAAGGGAACAAAAAAAGGCAGAAACAAACAGCATGAGAAATGAGACAGTGAAGGTTGATCCTGATCTGCCACGTGCTCCCTGCCTCTCCTGATACTTGCAGAGAGATGCTGGATCCTGCTGCGCCACCACCCGACCCTCTCCTTGTTTTCCTGCTCTGACTTTATCTCACTGCTCTTTCTTACCACCTTGCTCTGCTACTGCCCAGTTAAATGCTGGTTTAAACCTCAGCTGAGAGGTGAGACAGCCAGGTCCCCTTTAGTGTCCATGACCGCCTGGCTGTAGTGTCACATCCTTGGGATGTGAACCAGCCACACCTGACACCTCCAAAACCCTTCCCTCAGATTTGGGGGGCATTTCCTCCCTCATCCCCATCTCCTTTTCACTCTGGTTTTCCTCCTCCCAAGCTCTCTTATTTCTCAGCAACAGAAGAGGCAACTCCACTTTTCTGCTGATGGTTTTGTGGAGTTTTAGGTTTCATTTGCTTTGCAGTCACCCCAAAGTGCAGCACCCCAGCATCTCTGGGTCCCAAAATGTCTCCAGGGGATTCAGTGTGCACAGATGCTGGGATGGGCATCTCTGCCAGCTTTTCCCAGTCTAACACCCCCAGATACCACAGAGATGGGATTTAGGTGCATCTGTCCCACTTCACCCACCACACAACCCCAGGCATTCACTGACAGAAGGACATTCTCCTTTGTTATCCCACACAACCTCTCAAGGGAAATATCCCTGTCCATGGAGAGGGTTTGGAATGAGATGAGCTTCAGGGTCCCTTCCAACCCCAACCACTCTGGGATTTTGTGAGCTTTGGTTCCAACCTTTTTGTCCATTTTGAGCCATGCCACCGTGTCCTTGATGGTGTACTGCAGCCCAAAGAACCAGGTTTCCCGCAGCCCCAGGGTCCTGCACACCAGGTCAAACAGGTCCTTCCCTTTCCACTTCACCTGCCAGAGAGCAAACAGGAAGCAGAGTTAGAAAGGTGGATCTCAGAACTTCTCTCTGGTCACCCAAATGCACTGTTTTCTCCTCTCAAGGTCAACTTTAAACCCCTGTGAATGTGTTTGGTACAGACATGAAAACACCCTAAGAAGGCACACGTTATCTCCTTCACTCTGATCTCATCTGCAGATCACCAGCTCCTCCCTCAGTAGGAAACTGAAATGTGGTTTCCCCCCTTTTCCAAAAAATGACACCACAAAGCTCCTGTTTCTTGCCCTGGGAAACTAAGGGTTCATTTAGGCTCCTGTTGAGCTCAGCTTTAGGCTCCTGACTTGTTTAGGTTCCTGCCTGTTGCCAGCAGGGAATAAAAATCCCTTTGAGCTGCCCCTTGGTGGCTTTAATGTGTCTGCACAAGCACCAGCATCAGCACCAGGGGTTCAGAGAGAGGAGCCACAAAATCAGCAGTGACACAATCCCTGCACGGAGCATCCAGAGCCAGCGACCCTGCACGGGTAGAAGGGAAAAAAGAGCTCCAAAATCCCCATCCTTACCACTGAAGTCAGCAGTTCTCTGGGAGCACATTTTGATAGAGTTAAACTGCGTTTTCTGCTGAAAATGTTGGTGACAGAAGCAGCCAAGGAGCAGAGAAAATTGGTTGCTCAAGGACCATGTCCTTGGAGCAATCCTGCAGCCGCATCCGTGATGCTCCTGAAGTTTGCTCATAAAACCGGGAGGTGTTGGGAGGCACAGAGGTGAAGAGGGACATAAACCACGGGAATCTAATACGCCAAAGCCACTTTGGTCCTCCATCTGCACGCTGCAAACAACTGCTGGACCGAGACATACGGCCATTACTCCGAAGCCCTTGGGCAAACAGATCCCGCGCACTCTCTTGTCACTACAACTCAATCCTGGTGCCACCAGCACGCAGCGACATCAGCGCGGGGCCGCTCCCGCTGTCACCCACTGCCGCCTTGTGGGCACAGGCGGGCCCAGCCCAAGCGAGGCCTCCGTCACTGCTCTCCCCCTCGCGGGGAGCACAGACACGGCGCTGACAGTCCCGGAATAGGACAGGAATAGGACAAAGGCACCGCCACCCTCCCGACAAACACCGCCCCCGGAGCGCAGCGCTCGCCGCCATCCGCATCGGGCGCTGTCAACACCTCGGGGTCAAAACGCCAGGAGCAGCAAGTTTGGCAGTGCTGGAATCATAACCCCCCCTAATTTCACACATTTCACTATCCTCCAGCCCCCGGGATGGGCTCCAGCTCGGCACAGGATGGCTCAGACTGCAGAAGATCTTTTCCTGACTATGATTTTAAGTGGGAGGTTAATTCGAGGGCTCAGACAAAACAGAGTGAGGCCCATTAAAAGAGCTATTTGGTACCATTTCTGCAGGCACATAAAAGCAGGCTGCCAGCAGAAGGCTATTTCTTCACTAAACTGCTTTGTATAAAGCATTATGGGCTGTTTTTCCTCCTCTAAGACCATATCTCAGTCTCAGCACAGCAGTGCCTGCACCAAACCTTCCCAGGACAGGCTGCTGATGGCAGCAGGACGTGGCTCCACATCCATGGGATCAGTGAGTTAAACCTGGAATTCCACTGGCTGGGACTCCTCCCCGAACCACCTCAGGTACCCAAACCGTGCCCAAGAGCTGACAGGACCCAAAGGTTTCCTCTCAAAACACAAAGCACCAGTTTGTTGTGAAGAGCAGCACTGGGGATTAAAGCAGGAGCTTTGTGCAGTTTTGACTCGGTGATGGGATGGGTTTTGAACCCATCAACCATCCAAGGGGTTCTGAACCCCTTTGGAATGGTTTGGGTGGGAAGAGACCTTAAAAAGCACCCAGTGCCACCCCTGCCATGGGCAGAGACACTTTCCACTGTCCCAGGCTGCTCCCAGCCCTGTCCAGCCTGGCACTGGACACTTCAGGGATCCAGGAGCAGCCGCAGCTTCTCTGGGCACCCTGTGCCAGGGTCTCACAGCTGGATTTCTTCCCAACCTAACCTAAACCTCTCCCCTTTTAGCTTAAAACCATTCCCCCTTCCCCTATCACTATCTGCCTGCATTAAAAACTCTCTCTCCTTTTTTTACGAGCCCCTCTTTAAGGGACTGTATTTTAAGTGAGGCTTCTGCTGCTGCATTTTACACCAGCGCTTTGTCACCAGCGCTTCTGTGGTGGCAGGAATAGACATTTCACATTCTTGCACAATGCTCAAGACTCCAGCCATAACAGAGCACATATCCTCCCCAACTGTGCTGAATTACCTTCATTAAATATATCAATGATCAGCAGCCACCTTTATTCCAACAGACATGATTTCCCTCCACACCTCGGTACTTAAAATAACCATCTGCATTCAAGTGGCATCTTTTGACAGCTGAACTCCAACTGCTTTACAGACATCCAGGACCTCAGCCCTCCTCAGCCATGCTTTACAGGCTCTGTGTCATTAACTGCCACATTCTGTGGTTGTAAACTACGAGATAAAACACCCCTCCAGGGCACGAGGGGATGGACAGAGCTGCTGTCCAGAGAGCCTGGGGGACAGCCAGGACAGGCTGGCCACACCGTGTCCATCACACCACTCCCTGCACGGCACTCAAGTGACACCTGAAGCACAAAGATGATTTTACAAGCCATTCCGAGCTCCTGAAAACACAACCAAGGAGCTCAGAGCAGAAAAAAGCCTTCTCAGCCGTATGCTGGGGTGGCTGGCACGATGCTGTCACAAAGCTCCATCATGATAACCTCAATGTGACCGTCAGGACAGAGAGGGATGCGTCACTCCAGCACCCTCCCCGTGCTGCAGGCAGCACCTCTGACATTTGCAGCTCCTTTCCCATCAGCAGGATCACAGCACGGGTGGCTGCAGGGATTCAGGAGCTGCAGAAGGGACACGGGAATGAGCAGTGTTATAAACAGGCTGTTACTCCGCCGAGCTGGTTGTGTTCTTTACTAAGTACAGAGCGGTTACAATCTATCAGCAAAGCATTGAAATTAACAGCACTAAACACTGCAAACTCTCCAGCCAATGGCTAGAACTGAGTATTTCCAGCCCAGATTATTGGCATCATCTTTTTCTCTGGCGGAGACGGCGCATTTGGCATCTATTAACAGGGTTTGCATTATTTATTAACCTGCACCGGGAGTCATTTCCAACTCGCAGGCAACTGCGCGATTTATTTCGGAGCACAACCTCTCTGTCAAGTTTCACAACTGCTCCTCGGCTCCCCACTCGATAAAGCAGCTCCAAAATTGAGCAGAAGGCTTGTCTGGTCCTCTCATCAGGGGTGACAAGGAGGGAGGGCAAGCCAGGGAACGGAGCTGTGCTGGGAGGTTCAGGGCAAGGCTCTGCCCCCCGAGGGTGCTGGCACTGCCCAGGGAATGGGCACGGCCCCGAGGCTGCCAGAGCTCCAGGAGCCTTTGGGCAGCACTGCCAGGGATGGACAGGGTGGGGTTCAGGGCAGGATGATCCCTGTGGGTCCCTTCCTGCTCAGGATATTCCACAGTTCTAAAAAATGGGCAGCAAGGGACAAGGGAATGCAACAACCCTGCCCAGAGAGGGCTGAGCGAGGGGTCTACACAGAAAAGAGATTCCCAAAGCATTGTCAAGCTGATGCTTTTCTTCCACAATGTCAAATGTGGTAAAGGGGAGGCAAAAGGGATGGGTTTAATTTAATATTTAGGTTCCTCACACAAAAAGCTCTCCCGGGACAACAAGGAGGTGCCCAAACTCCAGGGGACAGAACCTGGCTCTGCTCAGGAGGTGCAGATGAAGATCTCAGCTCCTCATCATCACAAACACAAACCCCTGGAGCTTCAGCTCTTCCTGGGACCAGGGTGGGCAATGAGGGCACAAAAAAGTGAGCAGAGGACACCAAGGCTCAGCTGCTTCCCAAGGAAAGCCAGAGCAGCAGTCTCTGCACACCCCACCCATGGGATGAGGTTAAGGCACGACCTTGCAGAAATGACTCACATTTACAGAGTATTTTACTGCACCAATTTACCCGTAAATAACACAGAAAATGGCTTTTTGCTTTGCAGATAATTTTATTAGGCGCTAGCTCTATGCTGGGGATGTAAACAGAGGCAGGAGTCCCTGCTGTGACACGACAGCCAAAGGACTGCTGGGAAAAGGGGACCAAGCCCCAGGAAAAAGTGCTGAGAGTGAAGTTATTCCTGTTTAGAATCAAATTTTAATGAGAGAACACAACACCTCTTCCCTGGAACAGGGATGGAGAGGGCGGAAGGGAGAGAGCTGGGCCTGAGCAGAGCACCCCTGCACTAACCCTGCCCTGGGAATGAGGAAATGGATGAGGCTGCAGCTATTCCAAACCCCCATCCCACAGGAGATGCCCAAACCACCCAGCCACAACAGTTTACAACTGAAATGGAGATAATTTTGAGACTGCAGACCACACTTATTTCTCCTTCTGGACCTGAATGATAACCACAGTGCCACAGACAACCATTTATTTAGATTTAAAGCCCATTTGGAGTAAACAGGGAATCAAAAAATGTAATATTCATCAATTTTGTTTTAACTAAAGTGATGTCCAATATTTTCAATTGCCACTTACTGAGTCACAGGGCTGGGCTGTAAAAGTTATTTTTATTTACTAATGCTACACGACAAGTTGATAATGAGCTTTTAATTAAAACCTATTTCTGTTAACCACCGAGGAGGCCAGGAAGGCGCCCGGGCGTGAGGATGCAGATGGTGCAGCCAAGCACGTTCTGAGGTGTCTGCCCGAGACTGAGGTGGAACAGCAGTGCCAGGGACAGGAGCTGGGACCAGACAGAGCCAGGGGACAACAGCTGGTGACAATGTGCCCTCTGCCCCGCTCAGGTGAGAGCTCACCTGCAGAGCTGCCTCCAGACCCGGGGTCACAGCATGGGAAGAGCTTGGAGCTGCTGGAGAGTGCCCAGAGGAGGCACCAGAGATGCTGCAAGGGCTGGAGCCAGGCTGGGAGAGCTGGGGGTGCTCACCTGGGGAGGAGAAGGCTCCAGGGAGAGCTCAGAGCCCCTGGCAGGGCCTGAAGGGGCTCCAGGAGAGCTGGAGAGGGACTGGGGACAAGGGATGGAGGGACAGCACACAGGGAATGGCTCCCAGTGCCAGAGGGCAGGGATGGATGGGATATTGGGAATTGGGAATTGTTCCCTGGCAGGGTGGGCAGGCCCTGGCACAGGGTGCCCATCCTGGATCCCTGGCAGTGCCCAAGGCCAGGCTGGACATTGGGGCTGGAGCAGCCTGGGACAGTGGGAGGTGTCCCTGCCATGGCTGGGGTGGCACTGGATGGGCTTTAAGGTCCCTTCCCACTTAAACCATTCCATAATTCCATGAAAACTCACTCCTCACCTTTTTGCAAGCTGTGACTGCCCCTGGAAGTGTTCAAGGCAAGGTTGGACAGGTTGGAGCAGTCTGAGATAGTGGAAAGTGTCCCTGCCATGGCAGAAGATGGAACTGGATGAGCTTTAAGGTCCCTCCCAACCCAAACCATTCCATGGCTCCATGTCCCAAAGCCTCACCTCACCTGTAAGCTGGGCTCTCACAGATGAAGAGTTACGGGGTCAAGGAGCAGCTCAGAGCAGAGCAAGGAGCTCCAAGAGGACGAAAGGAGGGTTTGGATCCTGCAGGGAGCTGTAACTCACACATGGGCAGCACAGCACTGCTCCCTGCCCAGCAGGGACAGCCCCAGGCCCTCCCTCTGTGCAGGAGCTGCTTCCTGATGGGCTGGGGCTGCTTCAGCCCAGCCTGAGCTGCTCTGAGGAGCCCCCAACGCTGCTGAGCTCTGAGCACAGACACAGACAGGGCACAGCTCAGCCAGGCTGGGAGGGACAGCCAGGGGCTCACCCAGGGTGATGCCAGGTTCAGTTCCTCTCTTCCCATCTCCAGGGCTGTGTCATTCCCCACCAGTGCTCCCTCACAGCTTCAAGATTATTCCCAGGGCTGCTTCCCTGTTCAAGCACCTTTAATTTCAAAAAACACCTACTTGAAAGACACTGCCTGTACAAAGAAAAAAAAAAGGAGGCATTAAAGAGCATCAAAACTGGAGTCTGCACACCTAAAGAGAAAGAATTACTGTCCCAAATGCCCTCCCTCCTTCCCCTCTGGATTAATTAACAGAGTCTGGGGATTAACAGCAGTTTTGAACAGTTTTTGGAGAGAAGCAACAGGAGTTTGCTACTGCCTTGGAAGAGGCTGTGATGGGAGCAGGGGATCCAGAGAACTTGTCAGGTGCAGGGTGAGGCACCAAAGCCAAAGAGGATCCACGGCCACAAGTCACAAACACAACCTAAGGAAATGAACTGCACCAAGCAAGACACCCCAAAACACCAACTCCCAAATGTCACTGGTGTGAATCAGAAATTCTGAGGTTTTGGGGCATAAACCCCTCTGAGATATGAGTGAGGAAACAGCCCTTTCCTGCTGTGTCTCACATTCAAAGAGAGGAGCACATGCTCCTGAGGGCTGGCACAAGATCAGGACACACAGGCACGTGGAGGAACAGAACACTGACCTGACAGCTGGTATCCCAACAATTTATCTGGGATCATGTTGGAGCTGAGGGGGATCATTTCTCTCAGCTCTTTTAAACAGCTGTCCCTGCACACAGACTGCTCTTTTCCTGTTAAGTTTGTGTCCACTCACAGAAGCTTTGCAGCATCAAGAGGTCACTGTCCCTACCAGCTCCCTGCTGCCTGAGATTGGGAATGTATGGATCTCTATAAACCCCCTTCCAAGTATCCTGCAATGCAGAAGGAAGCCAAGGGCATTGCACTCCCTGATTTCCTCCTCCTGCCTTTTTATTTTGGTGCAGTGACTGGACACAGCTCAAAACTCAGCTTGGATTTACTGCACCAGCTCTTCCTCAAAAACTCATTTCCACCCGGATTTCCCCCACCAAATCCTTGGCTGTTCCTGTTCCAGAAGATGAGCTTTGCAGCTCAGCCACACAAGTCCCTGTGTGTGGTGACAAAGGGACAGCACTCGGCCACACGTGGCCAAAATCAGGACTCTTCTACTTACAAGGGCTTTACATCCAACTGGCCCTGCACTGAGTGGGGCACTGGGCTAAAATAAAGATCCCTTCCAACCAGGATTATCCTCTGGACAGACAGGAACAGCTTAAGCACTCAAGCAATAACTGGATGCATGTTTAGACAGCAAATACATCAGCACAAACCTGCTTTTCTCGCTGCTTGAACACTTAAGCTGTTTCTCCAGGCTGGCTGTAAAGCTTTTCCAATTCATTTTTAAGACATCAAAAGATAAAGGTTGGGAAGCAGCTGGGCAGCGAGCTGCACCTTGATGGAGTGATCATCCCTGCAGGACTCAAGCCCAAAATCACAACACAACAAAAAGGGAAAAACACACCCTTTGGAAAATGGACATGGCTCTGAGAGGGAGAGACACTAACAGGGCTGAGCAAGAGGAAAAAATTGGGAAAGACAAGCAGGAGACCAAGGGAACGATGGAGGGGTTCTCCCACCAGCCAGGGAACTGGGTTGTGAGAGGGGAAAAACTGCACATGGCAGGGGGAGACCAACCTGACATCAGCTGCAGCATCCCAGAGATGTGGGATAAACAGTGCTCTGGACTGGACTCAAAAACACCACGGGGATTTCACTGCTGAGTAACTCATGTGTGGGAGCACCAGGGGCAGCACGGTGGGGATGGATGGAGAGCAGAGATCCCTGAGCCAGGTCAGGAACTTGGGGTTCATTGCAAAGGGCCTGGGGGCAGGGCCCTGCTGGGAGCTGCCAAACACAGCTGGGGCAGGTCTGAGAGAAGAGAGGGGGAGAGAGGATGAGAGAGTAAAAGGGTAAGAGAGCAGAGTTCCTGTTCCAGTACAATAAATCTCCTTCTCTGTTGAATATTCTGATTCTCACTAACCAATCTAATACAAGATACAAATCCTATAGCATTTCCATACAGCCTATAAGAATCATTACATTCCCATACTGTGTTACATTTCAAACCCTAAAATCTCCTCTTTGGGCCCCTCCTGCCAAGCTGTAGGGTCTGCTCTGACCCTTGGGCCTGTCTGCAAGCAGAGGGTGTTGTTCCATCCAAAGGGGATCACCTTCAGCTGGCCATGCCATTGTTTTCAAGTTGTTCAGTAACTGAGGGATCTCAAAGCTTGCTTTCATTTCAATCTCACTTATAGTTTCTATATTCTCAAAATCTTTTGCCAGACAATCACATTTATAAGGCTTTCCTGTTTCACCTTCCTCAACACTCATGGAAGGGTTTGGGTGGGAAGGGACTGAAATCCCATCTTGTTCCACCTCCCTGCCTTGAACAAGGACATCTTCCACTATCCCAGGGTACTCCAAGCCTTTCCAACCTGCCTTGGACACTTCCAGGGGCAGCCACAGCCTCTCTGGGCACCCTGTGCCAGGGAAGAGGCATCCAAGGCTCTCAGGAAGGTGAGGCAGCTGGGGATGCTTTAGCACAGGGATTCAAGAGCTATGCAAATGCCTACCCTTCCTCCAGATGTTATCAATTAATTAGGTACAGCTCAAACCTCGGAGATGGAAGTAACAAAAGGAAGACACTCGCTTCGTGCCTCCAAGATTTCCCCAAACAAATTTGAAAGCCTTTAAAGTGAAAACCCAACAGTGATTATTAATCTGCACC